GAATTTTAATTTAATGCATTTTTCTTTCTGAACGTTTTTATCGATTACCCCACCATACTTCTCTACACTAAAAATATTTATCTTCAGATCGTACATCTGAACTTTGAAATTGCTTTATTTCTTAAGCCTGTAAAATTCAAACTAAAAATATTTATTAGAAATGTATTTCTTAACGAAAATTTTCTTTTTAAAATTTTTCATAGGCCTCTGAATATTTCTTATTGCTAGTACAAGACAAGATCCCACATAGATTTTTCTAGTCTTTATTTTCTCTTTTTATGAAAGAACTGAAAACTGTTTAAATATGTGGATGAGATAGGAAAGGAGTTTTGTTACAGCAGTGCCACTCAATTCTTCAAAATCACATAGATTATTAAAAACATTTGATGTAGGATTAACTATCAGCAGATAACTCGATGTCATCTTCCTACACATTTTCTTCTGAAAACAAGGAATTGGAAACTCTCTTACTTACAAAAGGATTTGTTACGTAGTGTTTAGGTGGTTCATGTTTTCAAAATCAACACCGATCATTTCTAACTGATCCTCCGCTTAACGCAACGGTGTTTTCCAGCCCGGAGAAAGGCGCCCTGGGACTGGGAAGGAGTGCGGGCCCCTCTGCGTTTCTTCCTGCAACTGAGAAAGGAAAACCTGCTCCCAGGTGCTTTCTTGGGTGGACCAATTTTAGGAAAGAGTATGGAAACCGAGGACTTAGAAGTTGATTCCTTCCACGTCAGCCGTGCTGTGTTTTGCCAAGTGCTCGCAATACCAGTTTGAAGACCTCAGGTTGAAGGGACACTATCCTTTCGTAGCCTCACCTCAGCTCTCTCCCTCCCTCCCTCCCAGCAAACAGCCCCCTCACAGGAAGCTAGTATATAAAGATCGCCTCTGTATTTACTGTAAAACTACCGATGACCGCACAACCATCCCAACAATATCCTCCGACTCCTCGCTACACAGTAGGCTCCTCAGAGCAACAACGTCAGTATTAGCTGTGACCTGGTTAGAAACGAAAACTCCGGGGCCCCCCAGCCCTACTGAACCAGAACTTGATTTAACAAAACGCCCGGGAGATGTGTGTGCTTGTGCAATATTTTGTATGAACTATAAGTATTCTATACATAGTGATTGTTTGTTTTTATTAAAATCATACCCAGTAGAGCAAGAAATCCAGTGTGTGGAACTTCAAGCCAGCGGGAAACGCCCTCGGGAATAAGACAAACGCTAAGTGGGCAGGTCCTGGCCCTCCTGCTGAAGCTTAACGTGCGGCTCCGGGAAAGCTGGCGTCCCAGCGGCCCTCGCACGAGTCTCTGCTTTCTCGGTTTCGTCGTCTTCAGGAAGGGTGCAGACAAGACGGGATCGTGTGAAATCCTTCACTCCGGTGTCTGTGTTTTATTGAAAATGTTTGAGCTTGTCCTCCTCGGCGATCCCGCGGGGCGTGCCTGCCTCACCTGCCTGCACGGGTGTCACTGCTAATCCCGCCGCGAGGCCCACTCAGTCCACACCAGGGCGGCCGCCGCGGGATGCCCCGGCGCGGGGCGGCCAAGGCGGCACTCGGAGGACGGCTCCCGCAGCGAGCACCGGCTATAAGTAAGGCGGAGCGCGCTAAACCGTCACCGGGCCTGAAGGATGCCTCTTCAGGGGAGTCGGGGAAACTCAATAAATAACCAGTTCGCTGGAGGAGAGGAAACCATCAGCCGCTGGTCCAGGCCCGCAGTTCATCAGCGCGCAGGGCCAGCAAGCCGCGCCCGCGTGCTGGGCTTTCACACCACCCCACGCAAGAATGAATCACGGCCCCTTGGAGACGCGCCGATTCCAGGGCCGGACGCTGAAGGTGTGTGATGGGCCGGGGCGCCTCGTTAGCCCAGAAAGTAAGGGTGGCTCGGGGAGAAGGCACCCCAAGGACCCAGAACAGCCAAGGACTCGGGAAGCGGGGCAATAACAGAGGCGGCTCAGAGAGCTGCTGGCACCACGGCAACACCAGCTCCGGCAGGAAGGGTCCGGGGAAGCTTCAGCCGGGGGCAGAATCGGCCCGTGGGCTGTGTCTTCTCCCCGGTGGCCGAGCTCACCCGTAACAACTGGGGAGAGCGCGCCGCACCCTGACCAGGCGGCATGGAGCGCCCCCGGGTGGGGGGGGAGGAAAGGCTCCGCCATGGTCTCCACCTCTAGCGTCAGAGAGCCCACGTCTAAAATACGCGACCCAGCAAAGGCTGACTCTGACAGCAGGAGTGACCCAGGGTGGCGTGGCCACCGACAGGAGGGAGTGAATGCGCGTCCCCTGTGGCCGCCGGGCGCCCAGCCCTGCTCTGCGTCACCTCACCTCCCTCCGGGCAATGCCCTGCCCTGTGCGGCCCTGGCGGAAGCAGAAGCCCCAGGGCGCGCTCTCCAGCTCTGGAAGCCAAGGCCGCCCCTCGGGGCCGCTTCCAGAAACCTGCTGGCTCCCTGACCCAGGCGGGTGGGCCCAGGGGCCCGGCTCAGTCAGACACGTCTCGTGGGAGCCCGTGCACCGGCCAAAGGCGCGGTTCCACCCGAGTCATGAAGGGGCAGAGCCGGGCATTTCTGTTCAACGTTCCGCCACCGGGGGACCTGCCTGGGTCCCCTCCAGCCCCGGGCCCCTCCGTTCCCAGCCACTTCTGAGAAACGCCTGCCCTGCTCCTCAGTCAAGAGCACATTTTCTTTGCGAACAGCAACAAAGGCGATAAATGGATGGAATGAAATAGAAGGCGCAAGGGGATACAACGTGTCATTTTATTTAGCATTTCTTTCCCACTGGCTTGGTATCGTGGAAAACGCGTTGGAGGGAGAACAGAAGGTTCTCAAGTCGAGTCCAGGCTCCGCATCGGCTGCCTTTCACATCTGAAGTGTGAATTCACTCCGTGTTTTTATTTTTTTCTTTCCCCGTCTCTCAAGGAGGTAGGTTGAACCGCAAGTTTTCTTGTACTCATAAAATATTATGTCATGTAGGAAGGAGATTCTTAGTGACAAAGACCAATGATATACACCTTCTTTCGAGAAATAAACACATGGGTGATTGTTGAATTTAGCATTTCCCATTCTTTTTTAATATTGTTTTTCATACAAATCAGATTGTGTGGTAGTTTCTAACATGACAAATAAAACAGAAATCAAATACCTTCAGACTGTTTCCCTGAGAAAATGATATCACTGTCTCAGGAGATTTATCCCTAAGAAAAAGGTTTGAAATTTACTCCTCAGTAAATACCATTATATTTATAAGATCTGCAGGCAAAGTGATGCATCTTCCATAGATTTTTACATTTTCTGAGATCACATTATCCTGAAATGTGCTTTTCTTCATGTTTTCAAATGTGGTGTAAATACCAGCCTTCCATAAAAGTTTCAAGTTCAAGAGAACAAATAATTCCTTTTAAAATTCACTGATGAGTTTGATAGGCGTGTTTTGCTAAATATGCATGAAGTAGATCAGTGTGCTCAGGAATATATCCACAACAGTACGACGGGGTCCATTTTCCTAGGAGATCTGAAATTACCAGTGTCAGTCAGTCCACATTCTTCAAACTGGCATTAACCATAAATTGGCAAGAATTTAAACGACCTATGGGAAGTCATATCCTGAGGTCATAAGGAGTTTTAATATTGAAACCCAGCCAGCCACAGAAGAGGACGACTGAATTCTTTAAAAATTAAAAAGCAGCCCGGCCGGCATGGCTCCGTGGTTGAGCATCAATCCACGAACCAAGAGGCGGCGGTTTGACTCCTGGTCGGGGCGCAGGCCCGGGTTACGGCTCGATCCCCAGTAGGGGGCGTGCAGGGCGCAGCCGACCGATGTTTCTCTCTCTCCCTCTCCCTTCCTCTCCCTGAAATCAATAAAAATATATTTTCAAAAAATTAAAAAGCAAAGCCATCCTCAACAAGCCATTCAAACCAAGACGACTAATAATCATAAAATCATATCCCCAAGAATGATTCGATATTCACAGTGACCACGCATTCGCTGGAAGTAAAATGCCACGGGAAATAAGTAAATAACATGCTACGAGAGGCTGTTCCTCTTGCAAGTTTTATGTCCCCGGACCTGAGCTTCTATACACACCATTTGTTACTAACTCCCGACACAGGAAACGCCATCTGTCTCGTAAGTCACTCTGCTAAGTTCTGGGGCAGCAAAGACGCGTAACGATCGGTTCCTGGCCGTAGGGCGCCCAGAGCCAGGAACCCAACTCGAGATAACGTGGCACATGCTGGGAGAGATGGTATCTAGTGCCGTCTGCCAGAGAAGCAAAGAATCCTGTTCGGGGGCAGGGAAAAAGCTGCAGAGAAAGGGTGACGTATTCAACCTTTCTAAAAGCATCGGGACTATGAATACTAAGGCTCGTCTCCAGAACGTCACAGTCGGTCATTCCTGAGCTGAAGCCCCCGCGGGCCGCGTGACACGGAGCAGGCAGTTGGGACCTAGACTCTTGCCCTGGTCCCGTCACTCACTGTTGTCGCCTTAGGCGTCAGTTTCCTCACCTGTAAGGACTCAGTCAAGCTTCCGACTCTTCAATGCCCTCTCCGGCTCTAGCGCGGATCTGTATCTTACATCGAATTATAAAAGCTATCTCTGCTGGATGTCCTCACTTAGCAGATGTGTCCAGATGACCTACTGTGTGCCAGGCACTGTTCTGAGCACACGGGATGTATCTGTGAGCAAAATAGGACAAAATCTCATGGAAATTACACCGAAAATATCTACTGAAAAACTTTAGAGTGCTTTGTCATCACCTTGTTCAACATACATTTCCCTGTGAGGTTTACTATGTATTTAAAATAGTTACCATGGAGGAATCTGAAATAACTAGGACCACTGACACCCACGGAGAAGCCTGGATGAAGTGCAGGGACTTTTCTCTACTGGATCCGTGAGCCTGAGCAGCCTCACGTAAGAGGCAGAATGCTCATGAGCCCCCTAAAACCCATTTAGGGCTTTAGAGCCATGTTTTCTCCATTTAAACCATTACATAGCTCCTTGAGAGTAGAGTATAACCAGATGAGCTTTATTTAAAGATAAATAAAACCTCTCCATGGTAAGAAAACAAGCCCAGGAACCGAACACCTCGTAGTCCGCGAGGGCGGACAGTCCTGTCTCTTTTGCTAAGTGCTGTATCCCCAGCACACCCAGACCACTCAACAGGTATTTGTTCAGGAAAGAAGTATCCAAAAGAGCTGTTTAAAAACCAAAAAGAGGCAGGGGCAAGTGAACAGCTATTTTTTCTAGACTTGACAGGTTTTAGTCTTTTGGGAGTAAGGGAGGGCCTGGACTCATAAAATTAATACATTCAACTCATACAACACTAACAAAAACTATTCTATCAACCCTGGAACAGCTCTGAAATAGCTATTTTGGCCTCTCTTAATTTCTATAACTTTCCATACAAAATACACGTTTATTTTCCAGTCAATAATAATTTTCAAAAAGTAATTGCTTTCCAAATTATTACCAAAATGGTTTCCATTGTTGGCAACAGTTTCAGAATCAAACATGTATAATCATTTTAATGAGCATGTTTTCTATCTTTTATGGTTTATTTCTTAGCTCTAAAAAATTCATAGCCATGCTTTTTGAAGAGTTAAACTGTAAACATCCATTGTATTTTCCTAAATGAGTTGGAAATCTACGTCCCCGGGAAAACTTGCTTGCAAATGATTATGCCAATGTTATTCACAGACTCCAAAACTTGGAAACGACCAAGATGCCCTTCAGGAGGTGATGGATGACACACTCTGGTCCATCCAGACGATGGAATGGTATTTGGCGATAAGAAGAAATGAGCTGTAAACCTGTGAAAGGACATGAGGAACCTTAAATACATATCACTAAGTAAAGAAGCCAGGCCGAAAAGGCCATCCAGTGTATGATTCCAGCTATAATACAACCTCCTGGGAAAGGAAAACCTATGGCGACAGTAAAAGCTCGGTGGTCGCCAGGGATCCAAGAGGCGGAGGTGAATCTGTGGAGCACAGGGGACTTTTAGGGCATAGGCTTGGCCCCCATAGGGACTCAAGGGGAGGCAGCCAATCAATGTGCCTCTCACATCGATGTCTCTCTCTCCACCCCCCAGTCTCTCTGAAAAGCAATGGAAAAATGTCCTCAGGTGAGGATCTAAAAAAAAAAAAAAATACAAAACTGCTCAGGGTAGAGATTTTAATTTGTCCATTCTTGACAATTTTTGTTACAAGCTTTGCTAATGCTCGCAGTTCCCACGGAAGACAAATTGGTTCATGAAGACGGCGAGTTGAAGGCGAATGCCTGCAAGGATGGGGCTTGAGGGGAGAATGAATTCCAATACCAAGAGGGGGGAAAGCAAGCTAAGGTTTGAGTCTACAAATTCTGCACCAAATTAATTTCCCCTCCACCGAGCAAGGAAGCTCATAAATCACCTGGCCCTCAGCGTGAACAGAAAACCCGGGGAAATGCACCAGCGATGGAGATGAACCCACTTCTAAGGGAAGGAAATGACACAAGACACGAACGCCTTACGCTTTAGAAAACACTGTTTTGAATCTAATCAAAGTAAAAAAAAAATGCTTTTTGCCCTCCCTGCTTTATTTTTTTTCACTTTTTAAAAAAACGTATGTTTTTATTGATCTAGAGAGAGGGGGAAGGGAGAGAGAGAGAGAAACATGGGTCAGCTGCCTCCTGTGCGCCCCCTACTGGGGATCGAGCAGGAAACCTAGGCCTGCGCCCCGACCCCGAATCCAACTGGGGACCTCTCGGTTCATGGGTTGAAACTCAACCACTGAGCCACACCGGCCGGGCTTAACATTTTTTTCCCCCTATCACTTTACCCCCTCTATGGGCTCTTC